AAAAAACTAATCACATTTGATCACCTGAGACTGTCCTTTTTGCAAATGTCAGCATGCTAATATTCTAAATAAAAGGTGTCAACCACATACCTGCATTTCAAGCACTCACAAGCTTTGTCATGTCAGGCATGTTAGGATGTCAACACTGTAGTGTCATCACGTTACTCAGAGAGTTTTGTGATTGTCTAACTTTCCATCTTGCAACATCAATAGGTAAAACATTTACAATGTGCAATGCATTAATTAACTGATGGATTATTAAATGCAATACATTTAGCTGAATACATTATCCATAGCATTAAGGGCAGAGCAACACAGCCCCACATCTCATAGAGCTGATAGCGTTGTTCTCAAATCTCGTCTGATAAACCTTCTGATCTTGCGTGACCCGACACACATATTCCAACATCTCAACTCACCTTGACCTCCTTTAAGTGACAGGGGTGAACCACTGTTACCAGTACTGAGTAACACACCCCCCTTTTGTCACACCGGCTCAGAAGTGTGGGGGTACCTCTGAGCCCAGTGATGATTTTGTTCTCTAACGGCACCTCAGACGTTTCAGTCCTGCGGTTTTCTGAGACATGTGCTTTTTTTACATCTGGGGATCCGGAGGGGGAGTTTTGGGGAGACCTGGAAACCTGTTGCTCCACCTCCTGGGAGCAGAGAACTCCCTCTGTGGTGACCTCAACAACAATGCCCCCTTCCTCGGCCCTCAGAGATGGGCAGGGTTGGCTGAAGAGCTCTGCCGAGTCTCCAGGTGTCGAGGTTACTGGGCTAAAGAGCTCTGGGGTGCTAGAGGAAGCAGATGCTGCTGTTTGGGTGTCTTTGGGTGGGGTCTGAGGAGTCAGGGTTTTCTCAGGGCTGGTTGCTGATTGGATTCTATGTTGCCTGCCTCTCAGGATTAAGGCCTGACTCAGAGTCCAGGTGGTGAGGTACTGAGACTGGTTGGACAGAAGGGGGACGGTTGATGAGGATTGGTGTTTGGAGCATTTTGGACTCTTAGGTTGTGTTCTTGCTGTGGGGAAACAACTCTCCAGATACTCATGAATTGAAGCTGAACACTGATTGTCCCTTCCAAGGTTTGGTTTTGACGACATGTCAGATCCCACTTCTTCTTTCTGGCCTCGTGGCTCCACTAAAGAATAACATTGAGTGAACAAGTCAGACCGATCAGTGTTTGTTTCATCATTTAAGAGTGGGTGTACAATATTCTGCTTCAATGTTACCTCTTCCAGGTGCTTCCTCCTCTGATGATGATAAATTGCCTTGGTTTCCAGCCTTGTCTGTAAAAAGTGATACGCCACATACACAGTGAATTAAAAATCCAATCTCAATCTGCTAAAAAAAAACACTGTACTTAAATGTAATGATTTCTCTGATTGTTTTTTGTTTCCTATTCTTAAGTTCTGTCAAGATAATGATAATGGTCTTACGCTAAAAGACGGCAGCACTCAACACAGCAACCATAAAACATCATATAAACGTGGAGAAGATTACACTAAAGGCTTTTAATACTAAAATTTGGGAGGTTGAAGTTTTGAAAAGTTGAGGTTCAAATCTAATTTAACCGAACACAAATAAATACCATCTACCAGCAACGTAAGTGTAAAACATCTTACATTTTCCTCACTGTTTGCCCCTGAACGCCTCACCTGTTGAAGGTTTTAAACATCCATCCTGCCAGGTGAGTTCCAGGTGTCTCCATTTAGCAGGGGGACGCTCTTCTTCCCCCATCCTGGCTTCTAAAACCCCAGCTTGGTCCGAGGAGGCAGTCGGAGCCCCGAGAAAGATGTGGATCTTCCGCTTGTCACACATGCTGTCTTCTGAGTAGGAGAAGTGTCGAATTTTATTAAATTAAATGAAATTAAGTGATTAAATGAAAACATCAAACACACAACGCTATCACTTGTAGAGAGACTCTGAATGACAGACCGGACTCCCCAGATGAACATAGTGAGATTTTGATATTTGCAGCAGTTTTACAAAAGAGAAGCAGATTTTCTGGATGTTTTATTACCGTAAAAGAAAATGTCTCTCTCTGGAGTTGTTGCGGCTATTACTCAAGTTGAAAAACGTGCTGGATCTTACACAACCATGACTCTGCAGAAACAGTTCACAGTGAGTTCCTAATTCTGAAGAAGGCAGATCATGGCTCCATCATGCAGATGGATGCAGACAGGCTAGCAATATCCCAGCTGGGAACAATAACCAGGCAGAGCTCCACCAATCAGACAGCAGGAGGCTGGGGGAGGTTCAGACCTGTTTTTAAAGCAGGTTGTTTCATATGTGGATTTAATCCTGATGTGAAGACAGACTAGTGTCCATGTTCAGACTGAAAAAGAGTCCCGGTTTGATTCTGGATCAATATATAAATACACAACACTAACATTTTATAGACACTTTTGTCCCACCAACTGTTTCATTGAGACTTGCAATAAAAACCTTGGTCAATCTTACTGTCAATGCACACAACACAAACTCTGCTCCTATGAGCAGAATTTAAACAATCACACTTTCCTGAAACTCCTCACTGTGTGTTGTTGTGCTGATTTGGGCTGAGTTAAGTCCCATTATGCCCAATAAAGATGAGTCTGTACAGCTTTCATAACACTATTATCTGTTATTTTTAAGTCTTGATAATCTAGTAAATAAATGATGTATTAACTTTTGGCCACATGAAGACTGAGAGCCTGGTGAAATCTTTGATTGGACCAAAACGTTTTTTTTTTCAGGACTCCATATTGAAGCATCCTTGAAAGTCAGTCTTTTACGAGTCCTTAATTTACTTTGGGGAAAAACATCTCTGTACAGCACCTTGTGGAGGCTCTCCCTTTTGTGTGACAACTGTCATTCTTTCACTGGTTTTACTTAGGACTCATTCCAGTTCTTCACTTTTGTGACCCTTTGCAGCCATGTGTTTCTGCTGAGTTACAATTTCCACCTGCTGCCTTCAGTCAGGAGGACAGCCTGAGATGACACTAGCTTCAATGAGCTGGACCCTATGTTCACCTTTTCTCTCATCAAGATGTTTGATTCAATATAATTATTTCTTATAATAACGCATATATCGAAGATGAACTCTATGTCCCCCTTTAGGAAGCAGAGTTCATTATACATGAGTCTAGATATCCATCCAGTGTAGCAGTGACCCCTAACACTTCAGTTGTGCAGAAATGTTTGCGATGGTAATGATATATAGGATGTAGTGCGCAGATATTTTCATTTTTGAGAGGTTTGTGACTTTTTTCCTGTATACCATCGTTTATTTTTTCATAACCTAATATGATTCCGGACTTATTCACATGATAAACATTGTGAAGTTGAGGCCTTCCTGGCACATAAACAGTGTGAATCTGTCTTCAATGCTTCTTCAGCTAGTCATGTAGGTGGTATCTAGGAGCTGCGTCCAGGAAGACTTGATTAAGATTCTCTGAGAACCCAATTCTATAACGCAATGGCTATCGTAAACAGCAGTCCTTTAAATGGTGATGGAATCAATGATCCTCCCATATCACTCGAACCTTTGACTCAAAACCATCTCATCTTGATGAATTCTAAGGTTGCTTTACCACCTCTCGGAAAGATTTATAAAGGAGGAAATGTATGCTGCAAAAAGGTGGAATCGAGTACAGTATTCAACTTACTTAACAGTTCTGGAGTCGGTGGAAAAACGAATACCACCATTATCAACATTTCTTTAAGGCAAAGTTGCATGGTCCCTGGTTCAACTTGAAAGTGGATGATATTATCATTATCAAGGAAGACACACTTGCAAGAAATGAGAGGCATTTAGGACGAGTGGTTGAAACCACAGAAGGGCCTGATGGGTTAGATCTTCAGGTCAAGGTTCAAGTAGGAGAACGGAGGTCGTGAAACATTAATGACTGAGGACTCTAAGTTTAGAAAAGACGACATTTACACACACACACACACACACACACACACACACACACACACACACACACACACACACACACACACACACACACACACACACACACACACACACACACACACACACACACACACACACACACACACACACACAGACATATGGCATTTTCTAACATGTCTGTAATCCTATATATTGTATTTAGCCTAATGTATTAAAATGTATCACTTTTCAGAGTTCAAACTAAATAGTTCACTTCATCGGTTGTTGTTTAGGAGGTGTGTCCCTGATGCTGCGACCTGAACTAGGACGGGAAGAAGTAAAATGCAGCCTTTAGAAAGTATTGCCATCCAAAATAAAAGCCCTAACTTTAAGTCATTCTTACCCATATGTTTTTGTTTTTTACTTTTTAATTTTTTAATGTTATATATCTTCAAGACCACTATATATATAATTTTATTAACTACATTTTTCAAGGTCATGTTCATGATTTTGCATCAGTTAATCTGCTTTATTTGATCTATTTTTTAGCAGTTCAGTTTTTTATTGCATATATATTTTCCCACATTTAATTGAAGCATCTTTTTCTTCCATACGTTTTTTCCTTTTTTATGACACTATAAAAGAGTATCATTGGACTATACTGTCTGTATTCAATTTGACTGTAGTTTGTTTTGCTACACATTTACTGTGAGCTATGTTTTCAGAAGCCTTCACCAAACAAGTGAAGTGTTGATTTAATTTTTAAACACTACAAATCAGTTAAATGATCAGTGGATTCATCATTTAAACGCTTTACTAAAACTACACTCTGGTAATTTATAATCCCTTAAGTATATATTTTATTATACTTTACATTATCCTTGAAGAAATACAGAGGTCATTAGTTTAAATCCCCCCTGAACCCACTCACCTTAAATTGGTCAAATATTAGTATTAACAGGAAAATGATTAATAATTAAAAACATGCCAAATGTAAGTTTTTACATGTAATTTGAAAATCCTATATTCAAAAAACAAAGAGAACAAACTCAATCTTCTGTTTTATCGATGAATGCCTTTATTTTGAATGTTGTAGCCTAACCGGAAACTGCATTTGTGCCACTCTTGAGTGACTTGACGCTAGCTTAAACAAACTACTACCATAACAAACAGCGTAGAAAACAAAGTCAAACAAGTTAAAAGTGAACATTTGAGGGTTTAATCTTTAAATTTCTGCAGCTGCACGTTCCGCTGTCACCCAATAGTACAGCGGGGTAGGTTAACAGGAAGGGGCGGCTGGAAGGAGGAGTCGTTCCTGCGGTAAAAGTATTCATATTCCCCGCCGCATTTCGTCGCCTTCCCCCACATTCTCCAAATCTACGCCGACGGACTCATCTCCCCGGTACGGTGAACTTCTCTTAAACCAAAAAATGTACCGGTATTTCGGGGAGCTACTCACCCGGGGAGCGGGCAGCGTCCTGGCCTCCGGTGCCACCGCGTCTGCTGCTGAGTCGGCTCTGCCAGCGTCCGCCTCCCTTCTGCGCTACCGCGGCTACAGCCAGGCCGTGGACCAGGACGATGATCCGAACTTTTTCAACATGGTGGAGGGATTCTTCGACCGAGGCGCCGCAATCGTGGAGGACAAGCTGGTGGAGGGTTTGAAAACCCGTGAGACCCCCGAGCAGAAGAAGAAGCGTGTCCGTGGGATACTGAAAATCATCAAGCCGTGCAACCACGTCCTGAGCGTCAACTTCCCGATCAAGAGAGACAGCGGAGAGTGGGAGATGATAGAGGCGTACCGGGCGCAGCACAGCCAGCACAGGACACCCTGCAAGGGAGGTGAGAGCCGCACTGGGAAAAACATCAACAAAATGTCATTATAATGGAAACGTTAATAGAGAGAGCACAGGGGAGGCAAAATGACACTGGAAAGAGAAGAGAGATAGAAAGTTTTGCCCTCACAGTAATAATAACAATATTAAGAATGATAACACTCATAATAACAACAACAATATAAATCATAATAACAACAACAGCAATAATACCAATTCACTTTTGCTGTATGGAGTAAGCCTTTGTCCTATGAGGTCTTACCTGAACACAAGCTATCTGGGTTTTATAATTTTTATATACATTATATAAGGCCTATCCATATATTATACATACATTATAATGCTTATAATGTTGCACATTAAATGTTGGTTTGATGCCCAGAGACAAAAATTATGTTAAAATATTTTTTTTTTTAAATAAATAAAAGGGGGAATGTCAAGAGAAGAAAACACATTGTTCATCAGACATTCGTTTTGACTTCTTTCCTCTTCCTTAATCATCTGTTGACCCGTTAGATTCCTCAGCTCATCTTTTGGAGGGGAGCTACTCTGAGATTTTGACGCCATTGCACTTCATTGCAGTATGGTAAAGAAAATGACTGAAATGTGGTAATTGCAAAGCATGAAGTGAATGCAGCTTTATGCAGAAATGCATTTTTTTTTCCCCCATCAAGGACATAATCTTAATAAATAATGTAATGCAAAGGACATGAAGTCCTGGGGACATGGTGGAAATCATATTCACGTTATTTAGGGCCTTTTCTAATTGAAATATAAATCACACTGTGGATTTTAAATCAACTTTTCTCATATGCTATACACTTTAGAGACACTCTTTACAAGTTGAACTAGCATCCTGCCTGAATATTTACAAAGAAAGTAACAAAATAATACAACATAGTTGAAATGAACTGTAATCATTAAGTTTTAAAGGTGCTCAGGTATAACAGTGAACCCAAAGGAGAGACCATACAACCAATCAAGATCACTATCAGCCATACATTCGATCATTTCCAGGGTCCTGCTTCTCCATGCTCAGATTTTCTGTTTGATCATGTTGAGTTGAGCATCTTAGGGTTTAGGGGTGTTTAGAGTGTCACCTTTAACTATGGGAAATGAAGCTGGACAATTCTTTGTTGTTTTGTGTCCTATCAGGGAATAAGACATGTGCACATGACTGAAGGGAAAATATGGAGCCCAATCTTGAGGAGAATGTATCTAATTTAGACGGGGACAAATACTAATAAGAGCGATCGCTAATGAATGATGGTTGCACACTTTATCATAGCAACATGTACTAAGATTATTATAGTTTATACGTTTATTAGAATCAGGCACAGTGCACACAATGACATTAGTCTCAGAAGAGAAAGGATGCTTTGTACCAGTTTTAGATAACTAGTTAATTTCCATCTGTAATCCCTAGGCAGATGATGGCAACAGTAAAATACAGATCAACCAGTCATGTACACACACACACACACACACACACACACACTTCACACACACATTGACAAATCCTTGACATTATTAGATTATATAATTGATCACACTCATTCTTAAAGTTAAAGTCTGAATTAAAAGAAAGTCAAATTCCAGGATAGTTTAATAAACATCTTACATTTTTATCATTTTTTTCACTTCATTTATTTTTGGGAATTTCTGTGATGTTTAAATGCTTCTTTGGTACAACCTTTTTCCTATCGTGCTTTATTTACTGAGTAAAAGTTGAAGACTTTTATTTTGTTAAAGATCTCTCTTATTTGGTCACTCTAACTGACGTGCACGTTTAAATGTTGATTAACATGACGTTGCAGCGCCTTGAGTCTGCTCTGTAGCTGTTCATAAAGCTCATACAGATGCACAGAGGATAAAGAATATGGAGTTTATTATTCAATGAGCATCACTCACATCCAGTGAGCCCTCGTGTCTCCAGAGAAGAGAATAAATGGCATTATGGCAATTCAAAATATGTTAAACCTTAACTCCTGATTTAAATATGTAGCCTTCCTCTCTGTTGAAAAGCATCTGCAGGCTACTCTTCAGACTAACCTGATGGACTTCATAGTTAGAATTGTCTTGAGTTCCACTAGAAAAACCAAAAAGACACAGTTAGAGCCCGGTTTGTCAGGATGTCTTAACACCACAAGCTTTGAATGTGTGTAAAACATGTCTTTCTTTTTTTTTCCTGTATCTCTGTGTTATCAAGATACAGAGAAGCAGAGTCTTGTATTTTCAAAGCGGGCACAAATGTTTTGGCATCTTGCCTTCAATGATAAATCAGCTTTCATTTTAGTATTTTTTTTTATCAGCACTTATGATAAATAATCAGACCTCAGTTTTTAGTGTGAACATTTCGACTTTATTGGTTAAAGTAGACTCATTGATTCTGTAAGGGGGGTTGGCTGTAACACAGTGTAACACATAACACTGATTTTGAATGATGCACTGAGCAGGTTCTATGTTTCTATGTATTAAGGTGGTGAGGTTACCTCCCCTGACAGGAATGCTGACTGTCCAGACAGACTGTGTGTGTGTGCGTGCGTGTGTGCGTGCGTGTGCGCGCGTGCGCGAGTGAGTTAGTGTGTGTTTGTTCAGCTACAAGGTTTTTTTTTTTTTGTTTGCTGTTTGTTCACCTGCCTTAACCCAGGGTGGCATTGTTGTTTCATTTATTTTGGTTTCTCAAGTTAAGTATGAGCAGGAACTCATAATGCTACTACTATTGTACTCTATGATACCCTTCAACAAGATGGATTCTCCAGGATTTTATTGTCAGAGCTGTTTGAGTTTGAGCTGTCCTTTCTGGGTCAACCCTTCCATTATTCTTCCATTAACCGATTGATTGGTTGATTTGTAAAATGTGGAAAAGATGAGAAATGCTGTCACGATGGTGCTTTTCTAACCAGCACTCTAAAACTATGTTACAAATTGATTAAAAACAATTCAGATGAATATTTCTCTCTTGACTAAAAAAACTTCAATATTTGCAGAATGTTTCTTCGGATTCATTTCTGTTGCAAATTGTGGACCTTCCAAAAGTACACTTGACTCAGTCCTAAAGATAGCAACATGTTCAGGACCCAGGCTGCGACTCTTGAGTTTTTCTGATCTCAGACTAGAATTCGACTTTACACTCTGTTGTTGAACATGTTACACACACACATAGGCTGAAATATACACACCAGCACAAACAGGATCCTATAGACATGCAGTACTGGAGAGATGTCAGAGTGATGGTGGTGCCCACAGCGAGCCATGTTAACCTTTTAGCATTATGTTCAGCAGTAAACCATGTTTGTCTGTGCATAGAAGCCTGCTGCTTGAGTTTTACTACAGGAGACAAATTAAAGAGGCTTTTTGTTTGAGAATTAATCAGTCTGTCTCTAAAGGCGCCACAGAGCTGATATTATGAGAGATGAGACATTTGTGAGGAAGTTCCATGTTCTACAGTGATGTTTCATCCTGGTTTGTCCGGCATTTTATGTTTGCACAACTAAAGGCTGTGAATGTGTTTGCTTGTTGGCTTTAAGTCTTATTAAGTCATCCCTTGGTTACAGTGACGTTTGATAAATAGTTCAGCATAGTGTGGGAAGATACAGACACATGATAAATAATTCCTAACATTATGAGAACTCCAGACACCGTTCTGTCTGAGCTTTCACTTATTAATTCATATTTTATGTCTATACTTGAAGCCTGAACTGAACTCAGACCAGTGTTGCAGTTTTTTTTTCCTCGTCAGCAGTGATTAGAGGTTTGCAGGACACCAATATCTGCTCTCGGTGGAAAGAAGATGACCCCATTAGACTGTGCAAGACACTGAAGAAAGAGTGACTAGGAGTATGAATCTGCCCTGAAAACTGCAGACTTCTTCAGTTTTAGTCCAATTAACAAAAAAAGAACTGTGAGTGTGAGTTGCACAGACAGCCGACCTAAAGAGCTGTGTCTGGATTTAGGACACTAACAAACAACCTCTTCCAACACTACTGAATTCAGCCGAGCTCTGATCAGGTACCTGCTCGACACTCACCTACAGAGCAGGATAAAGTGACCACAAAACAAACACAGTTAGTCATTACTGAAGCTTTCCGCCTGAAACAACCACAGTTTGACAGTCCCACCACTGTCACAACCAGAACAGGATTCAGAAAGCTGGGAAGCATTAGTTCTTACAACACAGTAACTTCATTTGACTACTTTAGTTTTTTTAGATTAAGAGTTGACACAAAACATAATTAACGAATACATATTTACCGGTACATTAATGAATAAAAAAAAAATCACTACACTCTAAACTTGTGGCTTTATGCATTTTACCAGTTATCAACTGGTGGAGATGCGTTTTCACGCCTTTAGTTCAAAACTGTGCGTCTCTTAGCTTCTCTTGGTTTATAACACGTGTAAGATCCCAATGTAGGCGAAGGGCGGAGTTTTAACGGACTAATTTTTCATTCTCATTACATTTCAACATGAGTGAAGAAACTTTTTGCAGTGTTTCTTTAAATGAGCGTCTAATGATTACCACACCCAGTCTGACTCACTGCAGCTTCAAACACAACAACTCGTCTCATGCCATTACTCTCTCTTCTCTTTCTCGCTCACTTGTCTCACTTTTACACTTCTTTCTTTACCTGCTCACTTCAAACTTTCTTGCTTTTTTTTGGCTCCTTTTTCTTTATTTCTTCCTCATTTTTAAATAGTTCACTTTTTTTCTGTTTCAAAAAAACACATCACTGCTCTCAGTAAAGAAAGTCAAAGTTAAACACGTTTCTTTCCAAATCCAGTCTCATAGTGTAAAGTCACTTTATTCTTTACCTCACTCCGGTTTTCTTTTTGTCTGTTTTTTCGGTCCAGCTGCAGCCATTTTGTGCAGTTCTCCTGCAGCAGGCTTTGTTTTCAGTGATGTGTGAGAACAGGTCTGCATGTGCCGGCTCCAGTGCAGACGGGTTTGCAGCTCCATGCTGAGCTCCCTGCACTTCTGTGCCTGTTTCAAATTGTCCGTGGAAAGACACACGGGTCGCTCATTAAACATCAGAGGGAACAAACTTTGAACATGCACCGGTCTGTAAGAAAATAAATCCACAAGACTGCAAACATGTTTTATAACAGAAATACTCCTTTATTGTACAGTTCATTTAAGTCTTGTGATAAATCAGTTAAATCCTGATCAAGACCAGTGTTCATGAGCAAGTGAATAATCATTAGATTTATTTATCATAATGGATTTATAACAACCCTAAAAGTTTTGCAGGTCAGGACCGTGTTGTTATTTAAGAAATACAGAGGGAATGATTTGAATGTAGTCATGACGACAGCTGGCTACTGTAGGTTAAACATACAGTATTACATTTTACCTCATTTAACCCCGCTTAAAAATCCAAACTATCCCTTTAAGGCATAATTATAGGGATAAGTTCAACACCATTTGCAGAAATCATGACTGGTTTGACTGGTCTGACAGGTTTGGCTAATAAGGCAGGTCAGGCAGCTTATTTGAAAAGATATGTTCAACATAAAAGCAATTTATCCATCCTTTACCCATCCCTGTTTTTATTCTTTGAGATTTGGTAAAGGAGACGAGTGGGGGTGGAGCCAAGTCCGGTGGACATTGTGCTGGAAGGTGTTACACCCTGGACCAACAGTCTCAGTTAATTTATAAGAAGATACAAAACAAAAACAAGTGACGCAACAAATCTGTGTAGAGCTGAACTGAAAGCTGTGATGATGTGGTCCAGAAATGATTTTGATGAAGGTTTTACTATTTTAGGATGATAAGTAAGACTGACCTTCATAATAACAGATGTGACCTGGTTCAGGTGGGGTTACGAATAATGCCTCTTTCTTTTGTTTGATTTCAGGAATCCGTTACAGTACAGATGTGTGCATGGACGAGGTGAAAGCTCTGGCATCACTGATGACGTACAAATGTGCTGTTGTCGGTGAGTACACACTACTGTTAGTCTTCCTTTAATATAAGAAGAATCTATAGAGAATCAAGATGGTAATCTGAAGATGTTAAGCGTTAAATCACAGTACAAGCATGAATTTGGAATGACCCGAGACAAAGTTTTATAACTTTGGGGATAAAGAATATTTTCAGAGTAAGATGTCTGTGTAGGTTCTCAGTCATACAGGTCATGGTTAATTCAAAGCTTGATCCAAAGGCAACTCGACTTGTTTCTTGGATCTTCAACCAAGTCCAGTTGTCTTTGGATCAAGCTTTGGATTTTAAGATTAAAGCTAAAGGTAAATAGCTTGAAGTACTTTAAATAAAGCTTAAAGGTGCACTATGGACTTTTGGTCGTGAACATTGAAAGTTGGAGAAGTGAAACAATTCTATGCTATATTTTCTGAACTGAATACACAAATTTTACTCAAAGAAAAAATGGCTCCCTGGAACACTGTTTGGAGCTTAAAAGCTACCAGGAGAGTGACGGTTTCACTCTTGCTGGCCCCCCACCATGACTTGTTCGCGTAGCATTTTATCTTCAAACGTCGTTGCAGGGACCAACTCTTCCTCTGATTGTGTATAGAGTTATGAACATATACCACAGAATCTGTATTTCTCCAACAAATGTATCTACCAAAACTACATAGTGCACCTTTAAGTATTTTGAGAATAAAAATGGAATAATTCAATAAAGCATTAAGCATTCAAGTATGAGTAAATATGGTATACAGAACATAGGAATTTATTAACAAGTAAAAGCTTCTGAATCTCTGACATACAAAGGTGCCATTGTGGACGAATATGTATATGTCTTTTATACCTACTTCAAATTTGGCAACAACCAACCCTTGCACTAACAATTAAATCGTAATTCTTAACCCAACACTGTACAATCATTCCCCAACCTTATCCTAACATGAACATTAAAAACACATTTCTCAACTATCAAGCAGTCCCCTTTTATATGTATGCACACATCTTTGATGTGCATTAATGTCTGCACTACAGAGGTTGGATTTTGAAAAATGTTACTTAAGCTAATTCTGGTATTGGTTGTATAGTGGAGCTGCTGTTTTTTGGTTTTACAATAAAAAATGGTTTGTTCCAGATGTGCCCTTTGGTGGAGCCAAAGCTGGAGTGAAGATTAACCCAAGGCAGTACTCTGTAAGTTTGAACACAATGCACAAACTAAAGTTTTTTCTCGTACTTATTGAAGCTAGTCCTGGAGAAATACTGTATGCTATGTGATTATTATTAATTTGAGGACAATAAAGGAAAAAGATCAGGCTGCTGTTGCAGAACCCACATGTAAAGTGCACGATTGACAAACTTCTGGCAGGAAAGAAGTAAAGCAAGTCAAGCAAACATGTTTAATATGAAGAAATGTGTCTTGTTGTTGAGTTCATGGTCTGCACAGTGGAGTGTAAAACTTGAATCAACACAGCTCTACACAGCGTCCTGAAGAATAGCAGGACATTTTAACGATAACATCCAGAGGCAACAGATCACTCTACTATGCTGCTGTATGCTCAGGAGCTACAGACAACCTGATAGGACTCCCACAGGGACAAGTTTAGTCTGAAGAATGTTTTTGTGATATCATCAGTTGGCGTTGAAATTCCTGTCAGTCATCTCTGTTAGTGTTGTGGGATTAACCAAACCAGGAAGTCTGCAGCCATGCTAGGACTCAGAGAAGCTGTAATATGATATTGTGTTGGTAGCACTAAATGCTAATAACAGCATGTTAACAAGCGAACAGTGACACATGCTGGTTTTTAGCAGGTACAGTGTTTAACATGTTTACCATCAGAGCTCGGAGTGTTAGCAACACTAATGTATTAAACTGATTTAGATGTACACAAATACTCAATGGAACAGTGACTCTAGACCAAACTCTGTTAGATTTTGTACAGACTAAAAAATAAGTAGTTTATCAAGAAGATGATTGTTAAATAGACAAAGAAAGTTGCTAGTTGCAGCCCTCAACCAAAGAGGGGGACATGTAGTTCATATGCTAACTCTTTATATTTGGATTCAGAGAGGAAAAGGTTTTGTAGTTACAAAAGCAAGAGAGAAAGCTGGACACTACTGTGTGTTAGTGTATGACACTAAAAATCTTCTAGGCTACACCACCAGTAGTATGTTCCTTTAACTTCTTAAACTGCAGTGTCCCAGCCCTCCACCCACCCCCACATCGCCTTAATCAATCAGACTTTATTTGTAAAGCTCCTTTCATCCAGGCGTGTGCAGTTCAATGTGCTTCACAGAAGACTGATGGACTTTTGATAGAAAATAGAGCTTTAAATCACGAAATGAAGGTACAAATCATTTTATAATTTAGATGTAAAAACAAAGGGGATAATAGGATGTTTTTGCACCGATCTTAATCAAGATTTAACTCCCACAGTCCCAAACTGCTCAGTAACTCTGAGCAGACTGAACAGATTGCTGAGCCATCAGCTGTCAGGGATTTACCTCTCTCTCTCTCTCTCTCTCTCTCTCTCTCTCTCTGTCTCTCTGTCTCTCTCTCTCTCTCTCTCTCTCTCTCTCTCTGTCTCTGTCTCTCTCTCTCTGTGTCCCCCCCGGGGGATTTATACTCTGGCTAAATGTTTGCTCGACCTTCGCTCTTTTCCAGTGTCTTTGCTGCAGAACACACATCAGTGTTCACACGTGCAGCTCTGTGGTGACCTCTGACCTGACCATATGAAGGAATTCCAAGAATTAGATTCCATTCAAACAGACATGTGTCAAAATCGATATATTTTATGAGCTGTCCATGCACTGAATTCAGTTTTCCTAATTAAAAAAAAGCCTAACAAAATGTAAGTGTAATCAACAAGTTATTATAATCTGGTCTGTTTGTTTAAGTAGCATCACGTTATAATAGACTAGTCATGATTTAAGTACTCAGTCAAAGCCCTATCTTAACCCTTTTTTGCATCCAAAAAGTAAAAGTTTTGTAAATGCTCCCATGGATTGCTTCACATCATCGTCTGATCAAAGTGCGCCCTCTCAAAGTGCTCGTTTATGCCATTGACAGACTTGAGTTGTAATTCTGCACGTCCTTCCCAAATGCACTGCTGAACATGTGCAGACTTCTTACCATCTTAAAACATCTCTAATCCTTCATTTGACCTCTCAGAACATGGGAGTTGTTGGTCTGCTGCTGTTACAGTCTGTTCCAGAGTTTAACAGTCTAACAGTGTAATGCAATCAAACTAACTAACAGAATTAGTAGTAATAGTATTTACAAACCAAAGCTTAAACATGGGGCTAAAATGCAACAATACCAGAACTAAAATTAAAAGTTTTTAGCTACTTCGTACATTTCCTGTTGGTTATCAAGCTACAGACCACATTTCTTGATTAGATAGAATTTGTCCATTCATTGTTACAGGCTGCTGGAGATAGCTGACTATATATACTACTACTATATTAATGACGCTAAATACCTGTATGTACTTAATACATATATATTTTTTCAACTATACACAGCTTTAATCAGGATGTGTTTTTTTTCTTGTATGTTTTCAGGACATTGAACTGGAAAAAATCACCAGGAGGTTCACCATCGAGCTTGCCAAGAAAGGCTTCATCGGTGAGTCAAAGACCCTCTAAAACTAACAGAGGACTAAATCATGTCAGCTCCCTTTAGCCTAATGTTTAAATAATCCAGTTTATTTTAACCTGAGTTCAAGTAAGAACAAAAGCTGCATGTCACCAAAGATTTGAATTCAGTTATCATTGTAATTGCATATAGAAAAAAATGGATGTTTCAGCCCAGACGATACAATGCATCAGTTTGACTTTACAGTTTTCTTTCTAATGCAAAGTTATAAATACTGCTTTAGAGCTTTTTAAAGTTATGACCCTCAAACAGTGAGACAGTACACCTCATTTGACGTCTTTATGCTATAATAATAGAATAGAATAATAGAGTTCAGGCAGGCCACGAAGTCACGCTCTATTATCATGTCAGAGTTTCGGTAACAGCTGATGTCACACAAGCCTCATCAGCTGATGGCCAACTGATTTGCTTCAAAGCATCCTATTGGCCAAATAGCACTTATGCTGCTTTATTTAAACTGCTCTAGCCTGCCTACTCTTTGCTGCTCCCTCACTGGAAGGGCAGGGAAATCCCAGAACAGAGCCATACCGTCAAATATAAATAATTTCCACTTCACAAAGTGGTCCTAAACTACTAGTTCACAGCTTCTGTTAAGCATCTCTCCATCATAGAAAGTAACAAGGTACATGAACATAAGTCCTGCATTGAATTATCATTTTCATTTTCCTGCACTGCTCTTATGAATTTCCAATGTCATGCAATTCAAAGCACTTCACCTGAGAGTAAAATCTCAACTTTTAGACATTATCATTCACATTCCTGCAGAAACATCACAACTGTGAAGGTTTACTAAATCACACGTGTCCTTATTGTTTGATAAACAGCAGAATCATTTCTTTCACATGTGTGTGAATTATAATAAGTAGTTTGTATTGTTGACATCCGTGTTGTGATTCTGTGGCTCTGTAGGACCCGGTATTGATGTTCCTGCTCCAGACATGAGCACTGGGGAGAGGGAGATGTCGTGGATCGCAGACACCTTTGCCACCACCATGGGACACTATGTGAGTGTCCGCCCTTACTGTTGATCTCAAATCACAATCATCAGGAAAAAAAATCATAGAAGAAAAGACAGGGAATGCTGCAGCCTGTTGAAACTGAGTATGCTCAAATGTAGCTCCGTTTAAACATTTAAAGTTAACTAGAGTACAAATTAAATACAGTTAGAGCTGAAATTAAATTAAGCCAAAAGTCTAGATGTTTAGATTGCCAAGTTCAAGCATACGGTCTGAATATAAAATAAGAAGATTATATTCCAACAATTTAATTATAAAATATATAGTAGAGAACACACATGAAATACAATAGTAATATCATTAGTCAGGCATTAAGTTATGTTTTGAGAATAAGTTCAAATCTTTCTGCAGAAAAGACTTAATTTTTCTGAAGTATTTCTGATTTTTGTCTTATAATAGACACATTTTATTTTCTTTCTTTACATCTGACAATTTTGAATATTTAGTCTGAATAGCGATAGGAAACATTCAGAATTTCTTTTCAAAATAAATGATACTTCAACAATAGAGCCACTATACTAATTCCATACTGAAGGTTGGATTCTGAATAAAACAGGTTGGAAGCTTCAAAGGTTGGACTGTAGTGTGACCTCCTCTCTGCATACTCCTCATTTATAGGCACCTTTGCTCTGTTTGGGAGGGACTGTCGTTTTTGTCCAGGTTGCTTCCCTTTGAAAAGCAGAGCGAAGTAATTGAGCTGCGCATTATTGGAGATGTTGATGTTACGTATGAGAGGAAAACTAAACAGACAATCGTGAGATTCATGCCTGATCTGAAGTGTTTTTAAACAGTTTGTTTGAAATTCCCACCTCTATTTAAGACCAGCACACATCCTTATCTGATCCTGAATCCTTAACACGGCCAGGTGTCTTTCAGACATCCTTAGTGACATACTGCCATCTCATCAGAGAGCAATGATATCACATGGCACAGCAGCAGACTTTGGGACATTTATATTCAGATGCCACAGATGATGTTTACATTTGTTCATGTGGCTATCAGATAATATAAGTACAATGAATCCACCAGGAGACAGAGGAAAGCTCTGCAGCATTGACAAAGTCCAGTCTTAAAACCATGCTGAGAGTCGTTGTCTTGGAAACACAGGAAGTGCTTTCTTGCCAGAGTTGATGTTTTGTTCCTGTTTGACCTCCCATTTCCTGTGTTTGGTGCCAGTGTTTTGATGCATAGCTACATTTACAGCATAGCAACAGCAGTGTAATGATGCAGCAGATCAATGAGAGTATATACTCACTAAAAGGAAGAGGTTTACATGCAAGTTGTGAGTTGATGACTCAAAAATGAAAGCTTCTGAAACCTCCACTGTTAGTTGGACAAAACAAATATTGTGACTCACATCACTTTGGGCTCCAAGTCTTTGTGACATGTCTCACTATTTTCTACTATTTCTATAGATTCAATAAACCATACCATAAGTGGATCAATGTAGAAATTCTAACCAGCAGATGAAACCAGAATTAAGAACGTCATTAGTTGCTAAATTAAAAAAATGCGTCACAAGGAGTTTCACCTCAACCAATTCTAACAGTTGAATTATACTTTCAAAAGGATGAATGAGTCATAAAAATGTAAAGATAAAATCTATTAATTAGAACGTCTTTCTACTTTTAAATAAACTGAAGCATTCTCACATAGTAGTTCTTAGCTTTTCTTAAGAATCAGAATATTTAACATTAAAGAAAAGACATCTGAGCAGAGAGTGTCGAGTCATAGCTTGTATCTTGACCACTTGTATGCATATATAGATATAAAACCAGTGAGAGATCATCAAATTGACTTGTGAACAGTTTTATTAAAGTTGACACTTTGTCCGTTGACTTTTGGACGGTGGCTGTGTTTCGTTTCACTTCAGCAGCTGGTCTAGTAGTTTGCTCTGATGTTACTTTAAGGCTGAAGATTTAGCTTGACACGTGAAATCACAACTGCTGTTGTTGTTGGTTATCGGCAGAAGGACCCCCCCAGCCTACTAAGTTGGGGACCAGTGTCTCAGGTAAAACGTCTTCTCTTTAAATCTGCTGGGATCTGCAGGTCTGGGCGCAGGATCCTTCTGGTCTTTCCAGGGGTCTGAACTGGATGGGAGTCCCTGGGTTTGTCTGTGGGAAACCCTGCTTAGTAGGGCTTGACTTGCTACTTGCTTTCTGCTGGTAACCCTGGGATGTAGGAAGTAGTATGCTGTCTGTCTTTGTATTTACCTGTGACCTGGTTTTAGACTCTGCCTTCTTACAAATGTGTCGTCACTTAGTCCTTTAGTGGCTGAAACCCTTTTCCAATATAAATATTACAAACGGATGATTTTAACTTTTAATTCACATGTTCAAAAACTTCCTTCAGGTGCTCATAATCAGCTCATCAAAAACAATCACTAAAACATCTCTTCAGATTTTCAATCAGCAGTGTTTTGTAAAAGGCCAGTTTGATTTTTAATGTAACTTTTCACCACTGCTCACGGGATGATTTCCTGAGTTTGAGAGCTGATTCAGTGCATTACTAACAATTAATTCTTTAGCACTAAACACAAAGTAGAGCTTGGGCTGATAGGATTGTCAGTAGTTCTTACAGATATACACTATTTAACCAAAGTCAGTCAGTCATTAATTTTGCTGGCTGCATATTTCAGCATCTAGTCTCCCCATTTCTGTCTTTGACTGTCGTCCCCATGATTCCACAGGGTGGTTGGGTGGTTAGGTCATAGCTTTGTCAATAGTCCTTTTGGAACTGTTGTTGTTGTTTTTTATTGAAAGTGTATGTCCAATCCAGGCACAACATTAAAGGCTTAATATGCGATTTTTCACACTTAAATAGAAATCAAGTATATCCTCTGAAAATAACTCTGAGTCATGACTGTCTACAACACCAGAGTCCCACTGTCTGTGATGTTTTCTGAGTTTTCCGAGTCATATCTTCAGTTTGTTTACATCGCCGGGACGGCCGGCTGACTCCTCCCCTCGCGTATAAAAGCTGTTTAATTCAGGGACTAGAGAAAAGAAGAATAACATACTGTACTTGCTGCTTAACTGCGTTTCTAGATCGCGCCCATTTCGCAAATTTCAAATTTACATGCAGTGTGAAGATATGAGCATAATAAAGATCGCTAGCATTAGCATGCTAACACAACAATGCACCATGAGTTGTTTTGGTTTCATGCTGGTGCTCAAGGGCGACATCTGCTGGATCAAAAAATTGCATATAAAGCCTTTAACAGTCAGAGGATTATGACATTTTTTTCTCTTTGACTGTAACCGACCCATAAGCAGCTTCAACTATTTGTTCCCTCTCATGTTTTACCTGTCAGACGTTGCCACCTGTCTCCTAGATCTGTCTTCAAACATTTCCAGGAAACACACAGGGTTTTTTAATCTATCTAAAATTATATCAATTAGACAGATTTTTTTGTCAGATAGTGAGCTTAAGTTAGCTGCTGTATTCTCTGCTCCTAGAGCCAATAAGCAGGTCTATTGATTGTTAACACAACAGTTTTTTTTCACTGGTTTTACTGGTTTTAATCCCAGGGCCTTTTTGTCTTTGGGAGGATGAGGAGACCTCTGTGAAAAATTTGGCAACAAGTAAAAAAACTTGTGACCCAAAAACACTGAAGAGTCTGAGACTCTGTTAAATGCATCTTAGCATGCTGTTGCTTTCCCATTGCTCTGTGAACAAAGATCCAGTGTATTGAATTGAAACGTTGACTCTTGATACAGCAGACCTTTTAACAGATTGTCCTGAGTGGGACAGCAATGATGAACCAAATGTCATCATAATTAATCCAATTGATGTTAGGATTATCAAGTCTGGATCAAAGTGTTCTTCCAGCATCTGTGTCCTTAAGTCAGAAGGAACCTAAGTGATAAGAAACAAATCTGTTTTCAAATGATCCTCTTGCTGCATGATGGTGAATCGTACTTTTTGATTTCCTTTCAGTTTGACAGGTTTATCACTGTGATTGTTCTTTGCTTTTGGTCTTGAGAACAGAATTGCTTCATTGTCTTTGGGAAAGGGAAGTGTAAAGATCCTTTTATAAAGAACAATACAGACTGGGCCTTGAATCAACTAGAAATGTCAGCTAGGTTCAAATGAGAATCCCTTCTCCCCATCTTCTTTGTCTGTAACATTTCTGTTTGATGAAACATCTTCTTAACAATGAACCCAACTGTGGTCAGAAGTTCTTTATACAGTCACGTTGTTATACTATCAATTGTCCCCCACTCTCCCCAATTTTAAAGGGCTCATTCACAAGTTCCTGGCATTTTATTTAATTAAATGATACATTTTAAAAACGGTCGACAGATAGTGACATCAGTCCATACCAGGGTTGACTATAGGTGAAAAAGTACAGATACCAGTTCCAGTCTCAGTAGCCTTTTAGAGAGTCCAGGGTGATGTCTTCAGGTGACCTGTTTTCTCTGATCAGCAGTCCAGGTTCAGTTTACTATCATATCAAAATGAATCAAGACAACATTTGCTTCAAAATAAAAAAAGTTGCAGGCTGGTCTCAGTCTCTCTGATAAGCTGTAAACATCCTCTGTGTTCACTTCTCCCTCTTCCGATCTGTTTCTGTTTCCTTCAGGACATCAATGCTCACGCCTGCGTCACCGGGAAGCCCATCAGTCAGGGAGGAATCCACGGCCGCATCTCCGCCACCGGTCGAGGAGTTTTCCACGGCATCGAGAACTTCATCAACGAGGCGGCATACATGAGCCAGCTGGGAATGTGCCCCGGCTTCCAGGACAAGACCTTCGTCATCCAGGTGCGATCTGCTCCTCTTTATCACTTTTAAACAGATGAGACAGTTTTTAAACACATTTAATGTCATTAAACTTTGTTTAAACAGCCCATATTATGCCCTTTTTGGGGTTCAAATATTTAATCTATGTACCTACTAAAGTATGTTCACAATAGCTAAAGTTTGAAAGAAGTTTTCATGTACTGCCGCTCCATGCACCGGCTCGCTTCTGACTCTCTCTCTAAGGCTCTGAAGTGCCCACGTTCAGAGTCCCCACGTGTGCCAAGTCTGATCTGATTGGTCGGCCTGTTGGCTCTGCCGTAATTGGTCAGTCGCTCAGCACGGTTCTCGGAAATGTCACACCCTTTTTACCATATTGGGAATGCAGCCATTTTGGCTCCGAGGGTAGCATAAACATTAGCACCATAGCACTACTGTGCTACCGCAGGCTACGGCATATCGTGGGCGTGCTACAGAAGTCAATGGGCCTGCAACATGAGCTGCTGGGCTTGCCACAACGAGCCAATGGGCTTAGATCAGTGATCTCACACTGACAAGACGTCACACTGGCAAATGTTTTTCGAGGGGAGCTAGAACCGAGCGTTACATGCAGCTAATGCTACAGCTAACAGGAGGACGTAGGAGAAGCCTTCCGCGGACTTTGAATTTTTGCACACAGATGTGCCTAAACATGCACAGGACACTTGGAAAACACACTAAAGAGCATATAAAACCAGAAAAAGCCTAATATGACCCCTTTTAACAGTTTCTGGTTCAGCAGTTTTTTCATCAACATATCAGCTATTATCATATAATCATTTGAGTAAAAACTTCTTCTTTTTTTGAACAATGAAAAATGCTGATTATAATGTCCTGCTATTATTTTCGGTGGTCTGTGTTCTGCTTTCAACAGACCACAAGCTTCCTCTAAAGTAAAACCAAGAAGAATAGATAAGCCTTGATCTTTGGGCCCTGAAAGTCTTTTATTTTTGATTAGAAAAAATGGTGGGCTAATATCTACTTTGAAAAGTTTCAAAAGCCAAAAAGAGAGGAAGTTTCAATTGAATTGGTCCACATTAAATAAAAAGATGTCCAACACTCGTCCCCTGTTCTCCTCAAAGAAGTCTGTAAACAGTCAGTGTTGTTTGCATCCTCTGTGACCGCAGATACTGAGGATGGTTCTGATTTACAGCAGTCATCATGAATACAAACCTCCCTCAGCTATTCCTTCCCTTCATTATTTCAAACCTTCTGTCCTCATATGATCCCATTGTGCCTGAAATCCTCAGTGATGAGTCACGGTTGACTCATCAAAGACCACAAGTTTCCTTCAGTTTCTGCCTGGCATTAAAGTCACTACAGTCCACAACACAGGGACCTCACAATTTTAACCACGACACACATTCTTTTTATTTTGCACCAGGCGTTCTACGTACAACCTTCTAAGTTTAATATGTTACAAGACTTTACATTTTCGGATTAGAAATCAAAATAACTAATAGTGAAAGATTGTTCAGATTTGATAAATGTTGCAGGTATTTGGAGAAAACCCAGAGTAGTTCTGCAACAAACCGGAGCATTCATTCATTATTTGTCTCTCATTTGTTTGGATCTTTTTATTCTGTGAACTTTTTTAAATTTTTTTATGTTAAACAGTACCACATGTTTAAAGCCGTCACCTTAGACTCAGGAAAATGATATTTAGCGACATTTATTTGAGGCTAGACTTAATATTTAAACTAATCAGTATACATAATTTACGTAGTGGAAAATGTGAGCAACCATAAACAAATGTCACAACAATAAATTGTTTGAGATATTCATAAAAAATAAAAATAAAAATAATAATAATCTGAATCTCATCGTGGTACAAAGGTCAGAGGCTCGGTGGATATCTCAGGGTTTTAATTTGCCCTCTGTCTTGTCTGCAGGGTTTTGGTAATGTGGGTCTCCACTCCATGCGTTACCTTCATCGTTTTGGGGCAAAGTGCGTCGGAATCGGAGAAATGGACGGAAGCATTTGGAACCCCAAAGGCATCGACCCCAAAGAGCTGGAGGAATACAAACTGGTCAGTACTGATATTAGATGACTGAACGGGGTCACAAATGTATTATTACATTTACAATGTCAGCCTTAGATTGACCATCGACACACAGAGGTTAATATCTGTACTCCACCTGCTGGTTAAAGAGTTTCACTACAGAACAGTCTTCTACAGAAGGACCTTTTCATAACAAGGTTTAAATTATTTTAATATGATGATACTTTAGTTTTCCACTCAGACATAAAAAGGTGTTTTTATGCATACATTTAGATGGTTATTGAGTAAAAAATATTTACTGGTAAGTTTAATTTGTCATCAGAGTAAAAAGTGAAAAAGGTTTGTTGCTGTGACAAAATCAGTTCAGCCTTGAGTTTTTAAATTTATGTCTCACTCATCAGGAATCATGAAGGGAAAACAGCAGCACAAAACCTGACTAGGATTGAGCAAATTATAGTTCTAGTTCTCCATTTATTTTTGTGTGTTATATATTTTGTATGTAACTGTACGTTGTTTGACACTTTATTGTACCCATTTTTCAGTCTTTCATTTTGGAGATTTGCATGATGCAACTGCTGTAAAATTGCTAAACTTACATTTTCACATCGTTGATCATGAATCTGTTGACCAAAACTATTTAAAATTGTTTCTGTTTTGTGTCTCCAGAACCACGGGACCATTGTGGGCTTCCCCAATGCAACGCCATACGAGGGAAACATCCTGGAAGCAGACTGTGACATCCTGATCCCCGCCGCCAGCGAGAAACAGTTGACCAAGAGCAACGCACACAAGATCAAGGCCAAGGTACCACACACACACACACACACACACACACACACACACACACACACACACACACACACACACACACACACACACACACACACACACACACACATACACTGATAGATGAGCAGAAACTTGATTATTTATGGTAAAGAACTCCTGTTTCTCCAGGAGAAGTCAGAGTGATTACATTTGTTGAACCTGTTGACTGAAGTGAAGGTAAACCGGCTGGCAGTCTGTTTTCTCAGCATTTAAATTGACCTGCTGTCTGTGTAACTTTCAGATCATTGCAGAGGGAGCTAACGGTCCAACCACCCCTGAAGCTGACCGCATCTTCCTGGAGAGAAACATCATGGTGATCCCGGTCAGTGGACATAATCGCCATTTATTATTGGATGTTGAGATTAAGCAAAACAACAAAATAATCGAATGCAGTTTGAGCTTTTACACTGTTCAGTTTGAACTGGCAATATTAATCAGTTGTCTATTTGTCATCATCTCCTCTCCTCTTCCCTTGCCTTGTCTCACAATTTTCTTTTCCTTCTCTCTTGCTTTCCCTCCTCTCCTTGCCACCTTGTCTTCTCTCCCTTCTTCCTTCCCCTTTTTTGCTTCTCTCATTTCCTCCACTCCACTCTTGTCTTTTTCTCTTTCTTCTCTTCACTGCGCCTACCCTCCTCAAATTTTCTCCCTGTCACCTTGTCTAATCCTCTTCTACCTCATGTCCTCTTGTCTCCTCTACTTGTCTCCTTCACTTCCTTCCTCCTCCTCATCTTCTTGTTTCCCCCCTCTCCTGTTCTCTCCTTGTCTCCATCCGTCCTCTTTTCAAATCATCCTCCTCTCCTTGTTTCTTCCACACTTGTTCCCTCTCCTTGTCTCCTCGTTACAGGACATGTATCTGAACGCCGGTGGTGTGACGGTTTCATACTTTGAGTGGTTGAAGAATCTGAATCATGTCAGTTATGGTCGACTCACCTTCAAATACGAGAGAGACTCAAACTACCACCTGCTCAGTGAGTCACACCTTGATATCTTTCGATGACAATAAACATGATATGATGGGACTGGTAATGTGGTTTCCATGGTGACACCAGTCAAACTAATAAACTGCACATTGTGCTGTAATATTAATGAAATAAGAGACCTGATACTTTTTGAACCACCTTTTTTTGGATTGATCTTCAGCTGTAGCACATTTAGGATATGATGACTACAGACTAACCACATATTGATGACTATAAACTGTCTACTGAATGCAGATGAATATTTCATATTTTACTGTTTCATGAAAGCTTTAAAAAATGAAGTTACTGCTGGTGCTCTGCAATAGGAGGCTTGTATTGTGGTGCAGGTTTGGAAAAGTAGTACTGCTATCTTCGTAACTAACTATTTAATCATCAGTTATTCAGCCTGTTGTTTTGTAAATGTTTATGTCTGAGAATGTCAGAAATTGTCTAAATATACTCCCTCAGCTAAGTGAGCCATCTCAATGCCTTCATCTGGCACCTCATGAATGTTTTCTTGTTGAATGTTTTTTCTCTATTCTCTCTAAACTCTCCATCGTCTCTGTCTCTCTCTCTTCAGTGTCAGTTCAGGAGAGTTTGGAGAGAAAGTTTGGGAAACATGGCGGCGCCATCCCCGTCGTCCCCACCTCTGAGTTCCAGGCCAGGATCTCTGTGAGTACACATTTCTTTAAGGATTTGTTGTCGTCCTCTTTTTTTCTCTATTTCTTCTTCCTCATTGTCTTCTTTTCTTGTGCTTCTTATCATGTTTCTTCTTAGACTACTCCTGATTAATCTCCTTTTCTTTTTCTACATCTTCTCTTTCTTCTTCAGCTGCTGCTTCCTCCTCTACTTCCTTAGTTTCTTCTTCTATTGCTTGCTTCATTTGTTATCTCTTTTAATATGTCATCTGCTTCTTCTGTAGTATTTATAAACATGCTTTATGTTCACAGGGAGCTTCTGAGAAAGACATAGTTCACTCAGGTCTGGCCTTCACCATGGAGCGCTCTGCCAGGGTAACACACACACACACACACACACACACACACACACACACTTCTTATCGTCAGTTAAATAGCAGGATACAAACTATGTACAACTAAACGTTTGATGGCAGTTTCTCAAAAAAAACAAAAAAACAGGCTATTTGCTTGCCAGGTAAAGATAACATTTGTTATTCCTTACTTAAAGGCTGGGTTGGTAATTTTTTCCAGATACACTTTTTAAGATTTTGGTTGAAATCCGACAGAAAATAAAAATTCAAATGCGCTTTAAAGGGAACAAAGAAAATCTGTCATCTGTAGCAGTTGTAAGCCTGTAAAAACTTGACTGACCAATGTCTGCCACGGGGCAACAATCTGATGGACCAATCCCGCCTCCCTGTGTCCCTGCTCGTTCTCTACCCCTTGTGTGCACGAGCCCACACTCAAAGCGGGTCACCGATAATGGAGTTTACACTGTGAGTTCTTCGTTGGCCGTTGTGAGCAGTAAAATAATCACGTTTTTTTTTAAACATGTATTATGATAAAGTTTAGTGTTAACTTACCGCTGAATGAGACATGAGACGACGTATGCAAGCGATGAGCTGAGGTCAGCTTCTGGAGCAGCGGCGCTCGTGCATTTAAGTGAGGGGCGTGGCTTTTGAGGGCGAACAGAGAGGAGGCGGTGGGTGCTGTCGGAGCACTGAGGGAATGTATGCTACTTTCAAAAATAACGCTAGTTTTTGAGAAATTACCAACCCTGCCTTTAAGTTTCAAAGAAAGAAAGGGGAACAACTTTTTCTTCAAAACAAAAACTTTCACAAAAACCATGAAAGTATGTTTACTAAAAAATTACCCCCCCCCCCCCCCCTCCCTTCTCTCTCTCATGCAGCAAATCATGAGAACAGCCAACAAGTATAACCTTGGGCTAGACCTGCGGACAGCAGCGTACGTCAACGCCATTGAGAAGGTGTTCCAGGTTTACTACGAGGCCGGCCTTACCTTCACATAGAGTCTGCCCATGCCTGTTACCTTTCTGTTACTTATCAGTCAGTCAGCCTATTACCTGTCTGTTACCTGTCTGTTTGTTACCAATCTGTCTGTTACCTGTCGGTCTGTTACCTATCTGTTTGTTACCTGTCTGTCTGTCATCAATCACCCCTGCAGGATTTCGTTCACTCTTCACACAGCGTTTACGGTTTATTGCACAGCAGCAGTGTGAAGAAAACGTTTGAGACTGCCTTTGTGTGTTTTGTTGTGTTCATTCCTTCTCATCAACACGTCTGTTTACGTTCTTCCTTCCTCCTCCTCCTCCTTCGGTATATGAGAAATTAAACAAATAGACGAAAACATCTTAGCTTTAATGCGGCTGATGCTCCTCTGAATCGCCGCTCTGCTGCTTCATACCAAATATTTAGAAGTTATAGAAACGCTTATTAAGCCTTAACAGCACAGATGAAGTCTTGTCACCACTTGCCTGTTAGCACAACGTGTGGCCAAAACTATGTGGACATTTTCCTCACTGCCTGTGTGTGGGTGTGGAGTGAAAATGATAAGTCCATTAACTAATCAGCTGATTGTTCAAAATGTTTTTGACCAATCTTCCCTTTTAAGTCTGTTACTGAGCTTGTGGCCTGATTTTTAACAAATCAGTTGAGGCCATGCATCTTTCTCCTGAGGGACGTGAAAGGAAAAAAAACAACCTGTGATGAGAGGCTGGACGTACACGTTGGTTTGTTAGAAGAGGTCAGATATGGCTGGGTCGGTCAATTAACCAAGTTTAAGTTCATGAGACTTCACTTTGGACATGTAAAAGTTATAATTGCCTTTTATTTGGGTTTTTGATTTGAGTCAATATTGATGAATCTGCTTTGTATTATTTAGACTGTTTATAATAATAATAATTTCTACATGAAAAACTGTCCCAAACCAAAACAAGATGAAAGTGTTTTTAAATATATATATATATATATATATTAGAGAGAGACAGAAAACATGACATAAATTACAAATGGACAGATTCTCTTTTTGTTAATTACTTCATCTTTTTTTTTGTTATCAACTCATTGTTTTACATTTTGTTTTATGACTGACAACTAATTTAACAGTCTTGATCATTTGAAATAAGGAACCGTTTTAAAAGACCTCAATCATGTCACATTATATTCTTATCGTCATGTATTGTTCTTAAAATGAACATTGTTTGTTATCGAGGCTGTTATCAAGTGTCTGCATACTTTTGGCCACAGAGTGTTCACACATGTTCTTGTATAATGTATTCTCGTTTGATATCATGCAGTGCACATGTGCCTCAGGACTTAAGCTTTAATATTCACTGCCTTTAAACTCAGAGATACGTTATTAAAGAAAAACATTTTGCAGAGAGATGTGATATTTGAGCTCTCTGATCTCTCTTCGAAACAGTCACATCTTTGAATGAAAATGAATGAATATCTGACATGCAATAATTATTTTAAGTTTTTGCTTTATCAATATTTAGTTGAAAAAGCCCCAAAAAAGAAATAACCCTGACAGATCAATGTTTTACTTTTTCAGGTCAAGACACAGCTGCAGCTCATGCTTATGCTAATACTTATCTATGCAATAGACCAAAGTTATTCCAAAGGTTGCTACCTTATTGTTTAAAAGCAAAACCGACTCCTCATTCAATGTTACACATCAAACAAAAGTCACAATGAAAGTGTACGTTTTCTGTAGGAACGCTAGCAGGACATTTTTACGGAATGTGTTTTCTGTGTTAAAGACATACAAATCAAAGCTTCTGAAGACACGATTCATTCGAGTCTGAGCTGATGTCTTAATGTTTTATCCAGCGTCATCTGAAACTTTATTGACTTATTATAAGCTCCAGTTTCAACTCTTATGGGTCGGGGGAGGAGGTCAGTGAGTACATGCTTTATGTGGGGATTTAAAAAAAAGAGTAAAAAAATAAACTTTACTTTCTGTCGGCTATCAGGTTGGATTTGAAATGCTTTGGGATTCAGTGTTTTTACACATTTGTGTTCAAATGAGACAATAAAGTAAAGTACAGAATAATCTCTGGAGTGTTTGTCTTCATTTTCATACGCAGTAGTTTAAAGTATGATTATCAGTATTGCTCTTAAGTATTTTATTTTTAGATACTTACTACTTAAACTTGTAAATCATTGTGCATTACTGTTATTTTTGATACTTAAAAGTATTTTCCGCTACCACTTGAAGTCATAACCAGATTATTGTTTTTCTCTTTTGCTTCAGTAAATTAAGGGATTTGAATACTATAATGTACTATAATGTATAATGATAATGTACTTCTTGATTTAAATTGGGTCACAACACTGCAAGTGTTTCACAGTATCTGAGTATTTATTTTAGGAACTAAAAGTTCTTTGATTTCACAACTAATACCCATCTCATAATGTCAATGAGTTACAGATTCTCATCTCAAATTAAAACCTTTTTTTTTGGCCACGAAGAGAATTAAACATGATATATTTTTCAAGTAGTTTCTAACTTTATAATTAAACTAAACTGAAAATTTTCACAAATGATTTTGTAATTGGCTACATGCCGTCTTAAAATTAAATATCAAGCTTTTGGTTTTCTTGTAATTTTACCTTTTATATAAAGTTGATTGTAAAAGTACGGAAGCGTATTGAATTCATGTGGAGAATTTTTTTTTGCCTGGTTTCTTGTTATTACGAGAAAAGATCTCGTTATTACGAGAAAAGATCCCGTTATTACGAGATAAAGATCTCGTTATTACGAGAAAAGATCCCGTTATTACGAGAAAAGATCACATAACAGACTAAAATGATACTAGAGGGGTAATGAAGTTTGCATTGTGGCAGGCAGAGGAGGGAGGAAGAAAAGGCAACGATGACCAGGGTTATTGATTTGATTGTGTTTTATTTCCATCTTGGGTTAAGACATTGGGAAATATTAGTGTCTTTGAGTAACACAGATGGCATTATCATGAGCATGTCAACTTTGTGCAGGCATCTGAAGGCGTTAAGGTTGTTCAGACGGAAAGAACACTCTGACCTACTTGACATTGCGTTATTCCTCCAGGATCAGTTGAATATCATTTAATGAGTCTCATTAAATGATAAAAAGCCATTAATAAGATGTCATTCTGGTATAATGTTACACAAACACATACATTTAACATTAACTAGTTAGCCAATTAACAATTACTATAACTAATACCTGATTCTCCACCTTGTAATGAGCTGCCGCTGGTGTACAGTGCACTCCCATAAACAAACCTGTGCCTCCTCATAGCCACCACCCTAATGCTTTTCTTGTTATAACGAGATCTTTATCTCGTAATAACAAGATCTTTATCTCGTAATAACAAGATCTTTATCTCGTAATAACGAGAAACCAGGCAAAAAATAATAATTCTCCACATGAATGCAATACGCTTCCGTATAAAAGGCCTATTATGTCTGTATAATCGTTACAAACACTAATTCAGCCTCATATTTTTTTTTTTAATCACTATTATTTTTTTCCTTTTTAGGGGGTCTCTTGTGGACATTATCTGTCAGGTGGGTGTGTCCTTTCACTCACTTTAACCAATCAGCAGGCTGCGTTTGCCACGTTGAGCCGGAATTCCCCTCCAGCTCAGGGGCTTTCCAATCTGACTGACAGGCTCTGGGTTGTCATGACAACACTGCCTGGGTAAGTCAGGCTAGTGTCGAGCATTCTGGATGTGACTTCCTTTACAGAGTGTTGACCTTCACACTAAAAGCGTCGGAGTGCCATGCAGCGTCCAAACGATTAAATTAGTTAACTTAAATAAATAAAAACGGTAAATTTAATCATTCTCAGCTATATATTTAGAATAGTTAATAATATTAGCATAATTGGCCAAAAGATTGCACAGGGGTACGGAGAACCTGAAGTCCCAAAAGTGATTAAAAAAACGATTTTATGCGCACAACATAATATCTCATAATATATCGAACAAGTTAGATTATAACTTTTGGAAACAAGATAATCATCTTGTGCCACAAGAAATACATTTGTGCGCGTAAGATCTCTGTTTTTTTCTTTTCTTTTTTTACTGTTTGAGACTTAAGGGGCTCCGTAGTTTTTCAACCAGCTATATAAAAAAACTAACCATAACTATCTAGAACTCAACTAGAAAGTCTAGTAAAACGTCTGAGTAATACTAAACTAACCTATGTAAGACGAGAAAAATCATGTAAGACGAGAAATTAATGTCGTAAATATATTTTCCCTTCTAGATACTTTATTTTGAAATTAGTATCAGGAAGTTGCCTGAGGTGCTCTGCTGCTGGTGTAGCATACACCACTGTTGCAGTTTAATGCTTTTCGTGGTAACATAAAGACGGACAGGACTGCAGAAGACAGGTAAAAACACACCTTTAAACTTTTTTCCCCCGTGTATTGTAACGTAAACTTATCAAGAATCAGTACTAAAGAGCAGCTGGAGAGATTAAACACAGAGTGAAATCTTGTTATGTAAACATGCTGAACGTGTTCATGCTAATGTCAGGGTAAAATACTTTAAAGAGTAAAAACAAGGTCACATTTTATCCTCAACAGACCTGAATGTCACTTCATTTTATTTTCTGTCAGCATTTTTAAAAGTTTAAATTGATATCATGTGTTTACTTGGTGAACGTCCTTAACATTTAGGCTATATTACAGTAAAAATCCAACCCATGCATTAAAAGTTTGTCTAGCAGGAGCTCTAGCTTTTTAAAAGTGTGTATGCAGGTTAAAGTTTGGCTGCAGGAGGAGAAACTGTGTCTTTTAGAGTAACGTGAGGAAATCAATTGCTGTTGATGAGATTGTGTAACTTAAGAGGAAAATTACTGAGGCGACTCACGGTTGTAAGACTTCAAGAATAATGAGCCATTCAAAGTTTTTCTTTAGCTTCATTTTCAGCTTTTGTGCCATTTCTTAGATAAAGCTATTTTCATGTGATTAGAGCTCATTGTCTGTTTATTATCTTCTTTCATAAATAATGTTTTCTTCCTCAACCAGGTTCAATAAGTGGATCTAGCTTGTTTTCAATAAGCCACAGTTACCAAGTACTTCATTACAGTACATGAAATCACTTTAAATAGTTTTAACGACAAAATGACAAAATACTTATCTATGCAGTTACAGTTTAACTTGTTGTTGTGTTTTATAAGATAAGATAAGATAATCCTTCATTTCTCCCACAATGGGGAAATTTACAATCTGAGATTATTATTTATCTGAGAGAATAATAAATAAACTGCGTGATTTGAATGATTTACTTCAAGATCTCTTTTGTCCTTGAGAACAGTGCAGGTTAAATTCACTTGCAAGCTGTTTCTGGAGAGTTGGTGCTCTCCCTGACTGGTTTTTTTTTTAGATTTTAGTTGCATCTTATGGTCATCATGGTATATTAAATTCCTTCTGTCCTCAAAGAGATGGATATGTATGGTTATTGTCTTTTATGAGTACCTGTTGTTGTCTAAGAAAACTCTTCCACTTCAGGGTCAGGGTCGAGTGTTACCCACAGAATATAAATTATTTTTCTGCCGAGGATGAGTCCTTTTTTTTTTTTTTTTTTTTTTCCTTGGTCGATGCCTGAGTGTTATCATTAGTTTATGTTTTGATGTTATGTTCTGCTGGTTTTGATCTATTGATATTTTAATAATGTAGCTGGCTTTAGAGCTAACAATGACAAACAAGTTGAGTCCTCTCTGAAGCAGGAGTGTGGTCAGGATATTTTAGTTCTTCTGATATAGCTAAGCTAACAGTTTCCCCCTGCCTCCGGTCTTCATGCTAAAGATTGTTCCTCTAACAGATTCAGCAGTTTGTTGTTTGTTGAGGCTGGCTGGAAATCAAGGATTGTCCCCAAATGATCACAGAGCAGGAGGAGCAGAAGTGGAAATTCCCACTGATGTTTTTAGATACAATATGATCGCACACAGACTTTGGGCTGTGATCAGTGATTCGTTCTTGATCTGGCATCTGCAGGGAAATCCCAGAGGGAGGAAGAACAAATCAACCTCCTCCTGCAGGGAGCTGAACCTTCATCATCACGGTCATCATCAGTGAGTCTGCTCAGTCATGGCGGGAGCTCTCAGGTACGTGTTTTATTCATGCATTACATGAGGACATAAATCAGAGTGTTGAGAGCTCTGCTTCGTGTCTGCTGACATTTATGATTTGCTGGTTTTGATTTTTGTAAAAACTCCTTGAAACTTGGTTGAAAGTCTTTGAAACGTCTGGGTATCTAACTGTGGTGAAACATTTAGGGTGTTTAATGAATTGATCATATTAGTTCCAGTAAATGAAATTGTTTGTACTCCAGCACACGATGATCATTAAGATAAGAGTGTTCTTCTAGCTTTATGTCAACAGTTTGTCCATCCCAGTCCATGAACATGGTTTCAACATCTGGTGAAAAGGCTCAAAACTAGAAAACTGAGGCTGCACGCTGTCAGGGTGCCCTAATAACTGGCCGTGTCATTTCTAAAGGCGCTTGTTTGTGAGCCATCATGGTCAGATTTCAGTTATCAATAAGCTACTTTGTGGAGTTTTGGCATGAACAAAAGTTTGGATCAGCGCTGGCTGAGAAGAGTTCATAGTTGTTCATAATACACGGTGAACTCTGACCTCCACCTCAGCGGCAAGGAAGTGTGGACAGCAGGAACACGAGGAACACAAAGGAGAAATCCTTCCTGCGTATTATCCCATATGCTCTTTTGTAAAGCATCTCGAGATAACTGTTGATTGATTCATAGTAACTTTAAACCTCATGGCAGCTAAATATCCCTGCACAGGCACACGATCCTCAGCTGTAAGCGTTAAGAAAACATTTAGCCAGATCTGTTGTTTTCTGAGTTTTAGTCAACAAACCTAGCAGATGAAGTTTTTTGATGTGAGGGCAGTTGTCATATTGCAAATGTTTTTTTTAATAGATTGTCTGATGACTATTTTTGCATTTGACAGTTTTTCCTGTGAATGATTTGGAAAGTCTGCTTCTCGTGGCATTCATAGTCCTGTATGACTTCAGCTTCTGTCTTTGTTAAGAACTTCTGGTTTCGCTCACTGAGGCTTCTACCAGGTATTAATGACCGTGATGCTTTTAGGAAGGTCCCAGACTCTCAGTGCACATGGATTAATATGACTGTAAATACAAAGTTAGCAGAGGACCATTTTCATGTGTTTTCACTGACAGATGTAAGGTTTTGATATGTTTAATATGTTTGTTAGTTACGTTGGTTAAGACCATTACAAAGGGGCTCATAGAATCAAACATAACAAAGCAGCACGACATTAAGAAAAGTAAAGTGTGACCTAGTGTGCTGCTTTATGAGACTCCACCTTAAACATGCAACACATTCACAGTGTTAAATATGTCCGGTTAAATATCATTTCTAATATGTTTATGCCTTAAACACATTTGTAGAAGGCTGCAGTGCATTCTGGGTTTTGCGATGTGTGTGCCAAACTGCATGAGTTTAGTAGTTGTGCATCTTGACCAGAGTCATATTTGGTAGTGTATGAATATTGTTTGTTGTTTTTAATGAAGGGAAAACTCAAAACAGATTGGACTATGGTAACAAGAAAACTTAGGATACTGGATTTTAATTTTAAAGCACTTGATATACTGATTACCTTCAACATTCAAATAGAGTTTCAACATCCCTAAACTTTTTTCTAAAATCAATTTGCCTGCAACAGCTTCCAGCAAAGGTCTTGTTACTCCCTCAAAGTACTCTGTAATTCGCCTTTCATCTAAGGGACTGATTTGTCCCTAAAATAGCAGCCTTCAAACGTCCACTTTAAGACATGTAAGGAGTCTGCCAAAGCTTGTAATACAGTATTTCCTTCTTTGTTGAAACAAGGTAACAGATTGATTTGGTCCTTCATTCATATTGACAAAGGAGGAAGTTAAGGTGAAGAGATGTTTCATCACTCAGAGAACAGGTTAAGAGAATCATTGACCAACCCATTTCAGAGAAATAGAAAAGTAAAATCACCTAAGTGGATTCCTGCAGAGGTCAGGGGTCACACAGAAAATACCCCAAAACACAAACATCCCCATCTGGTTTTCTCTCCTCTGACTGACACGCTCTCACTGAACCTGCTGCGGGTTTATGCTTATGAGCATTTTGTCTGCTTGGATGCAATTGGCTGCTGTCAAACATGGGGGTGTCCCTCTGCTGGGTTGAAGTTTGGGGAAGGAGACTATTTAGATCAGATTTGAGTCACAGTCTGCAGTTAGGTGGATTATTCTAGTTGTAGAGCTGAGGAGAGACAGGAAGTCAAAGTTACAAACCAGACACCATCAAAGAGAGAAGAGGCTCGAGGTCTGAGTGCATGAATCTTCAGGTTTGTTTGCTGGCTTTGTTCACGGTTCTGTCCTTCAGCTCTCCTGCACTTTGTTGAGTGTTTGTTTAGCTTTTTGCTCCCTGTGTTATCTATATTGTATGTATTTTGTTTGAGTTTTATTTGATGTTCTTTATCATCAATGGTAAAAAAAAAAAAAATTGGGCAGCTGCTTACGGACGGAACGAAGTTTATCGAACCGTATCACAGAGTAGCTCTCCTGAATACATAAACATTTTTATCCTGGAGCAAAAAAAAAAAAAAAAGTAACTTTCTTTTGTTAATGACTTGAAACCAGGAATGCAACCACAATGTTGTGACAACTATAGACCAATATTTGAACATTACAGCATTCACCATATCCACCTGCCATCATCTTAAGAACATATCAAGATTCAAATATTAAGTTTCACCTGGATTTAGAGATTTTTAGAAACAGGCTATAAAGACGTCTTTTAGTACCTCTGTAGAAGGAAGATCAGCTGCAGTTTATCTTCTGTACATGGACAATATTCTGGATGTGCACATGAGATATGGAAAATGTGGAAGATACCTTTCAATATTTAATAACCTAAGAGTCTGAAGCTTTCCCGGCAAATCTCTTTGAGGCTGTACTCTGCTACTTGTTGGTAAGAGCTAAATGCTAACTGATTAGCTGTGATGTTTTCTCTGTTAACTATCTGAGTGCAGTGTATTTGGAAGCTAACATAATTTAGGTCACTTGCAGTACAAGGTAATGCAGAAGTTGATTGATAATTTGTTATTTCTACACGTATTTGGTCATAAAGCAATGTTTTGGACACAATTGGAGTTATAATGTGGATTTTACATGAAACATTTTCTGTTTGTCACCATCCTTCATTAAATATGGTAAAACAGAGATTATTGAGTCTCTGGCCCATAAGTCTGTGACATTACTGTTTTGTGTCCAGATACAAACTGGCTGTCAAGTGGACATGGGTGCCTTTAAAGTAGTGGCCCTATCAGAAGAGAGAGTATGATAGAGGTTTCAGTAACAAGTTAATTCAAATCAGAAAAGGTTGAAAAACTAAACATACAATGATACCAATGATTGAACTTCAGAGATGGCTATTCCAAAGAATAACCCACAAACTGATTATTCAGATGACAAAAAGTCAAAACTATCAGTGAGGACACGGTTTAGATCTCAAGAAGCACCATTTGTGTCTTTGAAGAAATCACCACTCCAATTATTAACATTTTAAATGTGAAAATGTTGACCTGATAATGGCTCTAGATATTAAGTCAAAGGATCAAATAAATGATGAACATTCATCCTGAGGGGAATGTACTGTGTGTCTCAGAGGTAAAGCGGGTTGTCCTCCAGTTTCCATTTGCAGTTCAGTCCCAGCTTCTGTAGTTTTTATTTTTATTTTTTATTTTTTTAGAAATTTAGAAAAAGAAACTGAATACCAAATGACTCACAAAGGCATGGATAGACAAAGTAACCGATGGGTCGCTTGTCAGTTTGCAGAGCGGCCTCTGTCGTTAATGTGTTTGTGTGTGTGTGTGTGTGGATGAATGAATGTGACATGAAAGGCTTTGAGTGGTCAGAAAACTGGAAAATCACGACATAAATACAGTTTATTTTTATTTACATATTTAAAATGTAATCACAACCCTCCCACAGTCGGTATTAACCATTATTGGACTGAAAGACAGGAAGACTTTAACATCCAAAAAGCAAACCTTCTATTGTGGATATGAATGAAAAAATACTGATTTTTTTTTTTTTACCGTTTTCAACACAACAACTGTAAATAAAAATCTATACATTGTTTATGCTAAGCTAAGCTAACAAGCTAGTGGCTGTAGATCCAAATGTAGAGATATGAATGTTATTCATCATAATAAGATTCATTTAAAAACCTTATTTTAGGACTCTGCCTTGTTTTAACAGAGCGATGAACACAGAAATGAACATCAAGGTAAAAGGTTGTGGGGAAATGGGGCAAATATATTTCCTGGAGCATTGACACAAATCACTTCAGCAGAGCAGAACAACTTCCTTGTCTTTTCGTTTTTTCAGGTCTTTAAAGAACAGCAGCAACAGTAGTGTGACATCATCAGCTGTAACCCCGCCCCTCTCAGTGCTGATCTGGAATTCTGGGGGTTTTCCTCCGCCTGGCCACTTCCAGGAAGTGACTGCAAACAGAGCAGAAGGAGGGGAGGGGGGTAAAACGGCACAGAGACACAGACGAAGGCAGAGAGGGAGGGAGGGTAAAAAAAAAAAAAAAGAGAGAGTAAAATAGAGAGGCTGTATTTGAGTGTCTCTATCGTCATGCGAAAGTGAAACTGCTGCAGATTTTATTCCGTCATTTAGTTTGTTTATTTTTTGTTTCCTTGTTCTGCGTGTCACGACTTTGACTCTTCAACATTGACAGGTGAGGGGATTTGAAGTGACTCAGGTCAGACAGTTATCAACAACATCCTGTACTTTGTGGTTTCCTTTCTGTGTGTGCATGTGTGTGTGTTTGTGTGTGTGTGTGTGCATGTTAGTTTGTCTGTGTGCGTGCATGTGTGTTTGAACTCTCTTCATCAGGTTTAAAGCTTTTAACCATTTGTTTGTTTGTTTGTGTTGCAGGATGACTGAAGCTCAGTACATCAACGTCTACGAGAATGATGTGAGTCCTTTTTTGATTTACACATTCATACTGGCAGGTCAGATCAGCAGGAGCTGTTTTCTTCTCAGTGACATGATACTCACCCTTTCAGCTTATTGATTGGTTCATAGACTGCAGATTTCCCTTTGAATGCAGAATTGATCCAGATTCTGCACAAGACTGAGAAAAAAGTTAAATATTTTAGATCTCTAGGTTTTTGGTTTATTTCCCTGCAAAACTAATAGTTCTATAGAAAAAGAAGAACATGCTGTAATTTGATATTGAACATTAATGTTGACTCTTCAGTAGGGACAAGCAGCGAGTCCGTTTACGAGACTATAAAAGCAGAAAGCAGCTCCTGTTGGCCTCAGAATCTTACACATCCCTTAAATATTATAAAATGCTTTCAGAAAAAAATCCACCTTCTTCAGAAGAAGGCGTCAAAATGATTTAGAGAGAACTGTTTTGACTTTCCTGATTTGAATCTGAACTTGTGTGTGTTTAAAAAAAAACAACCTGTTTCTGTCTTCCTGATACTTTACTTGTGAATTTAACTTTTACTGCTGACTTTTACTCTGTGTTTAAATGTGTAGGACTCTAGGTATAAGACAAAAATAAACTATTAAGTAAATAGAGACCACCAAAAGATAGCGGCATAAAAAACATGCAAATAAACAAAACAAAATCAGGAAAACAAAACTGAAAATTAAACAGTATCATAGAAGGATTGAATGACTTAACAGAGGAAATAACCTCAGCAATAACCGTAAAGTTTAAAATAGTTTGAAATTTACCAACAGACTCTGAATACTCAGCTTCCTCTATTTCCTTAATTTTCTGTTTTGCTTTTGAAAGGCAAACATGTAAATAAGCATTTACATGAAAAGAAAAAAATCTAAGCAAATTTACACATGATGTGAAAATATGAAAACAACAGACAGTAAAACAGACTTAAAGAAATAAAACAAAGAAAGCAATCAGTGCCATATTTATCCCTATCATTTAAACCCCGCTGTCTTACATCATTTCACCATCTCATTGTTTCCCCTCCTCATAAAAAAACACAATGTTAGCACTTCATATTAGAGCCCAGTTAAAGGTAATAGTGTGAAAATAAAGAGCTGATACATATAATAATAATAATAACATGTAATCACCAATGTAATAACTAGGTAATGGCTTGATAATATCTATGTGTTTATCTGGGTAATATGTCACTGAAATGTGGTAATAATGACCCAACGTCTAAAGGAGAAGGAAAAGAAATGTCCCATGTTAAACTATTTGTTAAAGTACGGTAATACTTTGGTAACATGCAAACAAAAACAAGGTTAAATCGGTGCAATAACTGTATTCAAAAATAGTGTAATGCTCATATTAATATTGTAATACTGTGATAATAATGAGGTAATACATGTTGATGTTTTCACAGTTTTAAAGGCTTCTATCAGTGTTTTCCTTATTATTGTCCTTAGATGTTTGGGCCATTATTACCAAGTTAAAGACATTGTTATTTTCAAGCCATTACCTTGTTATTACTTTGGTAATTACAACCATTAAGGCATATTTTAACACCAAATAACTCCCCAACACCACACTAGAACAGGCGCAGACGACCCTCACCCCTCTCACCATCTCTCACACCCTCTCTGTTTGTTTCATTTCTAAATCTACAATAATGTTTTTATACTAAAAAGAGTCTAAATGTCAGTATGAGATCTCTCTGGTGCAGCAGTGTGATGTGCTTCACAGTCGTACTTTGTTGCTTGTTTGAGTGTTTAATGAGAGTTATAACTCTTCGAGTCTCAGATATAAAGCAGGACTAAATCTCTTTAAAGTTGGCCTTCTCTTCAGATCTTTTAAATGTAGACATTTGAGCTCAATTGTTGCACATTTTCTTAACATGCATCTAATAAGCCGGGTTTGCCTTTAGGGTCATTGGACACAGGGGTTTCAAGCTGTTTCTGCACCAGAGAGAGATCATTTCTAAATCAATGCACACTGGTTTTCTTCTGTGTTTCATTGTTTTCTTATTTCTTAGATAGAAAAATGCACAAAGATCACAACAGAGTCCTGAGTCTCTCACTCACCCCTTTATTTTCATCTTATTATAATATTGTTATTACCGTGTTGTAATGTAAAGTGCTTCCATCACAGTTTAAAAACAATTCAACAACAGCCAAAAAGCCAAATGGAAAAAAAACAGAATAACTTTAAATAAGATCATGTCTGATCATTAACTGAAGAAATGATTCATATCATCATTGAAATGAGCAAATAATTATTTGATACCGGATATCAGATATGCTTTATTTAAAAACTCATAATGAAAAAGAAGAACGACTAGACAACAGTGATTTTTGAAAGATTACGTTTTTGTTTTCGGGACTTGAATCTTCTGCTACATGCTTGAGATTCTGAATAGAGTTGTCTTTTTTTTTCAGCTGCATGTGAACCTGATGCAGTACGACTACATTCCTCCAGTGGACATAAAGACAGAACCCTACATACCTGAGACAGGTACAGGAACACAGACACTTCTTATTGTAGACACTCAGCTGCTGTCAGTACTCATGACTATGTTCAGTACTTAGTTGGAAAACCTGTCATTCATAAAAATGGAAATGATCCTGCACATTTAAATATATTTACATAACATAAACCTGTAGACTTTATGAATCTCTTGTTTGTGCCTAAAACGCGATCCTCTGCTTTTCAGAACCTTTCTTGAGTTGATCATCTTCCAATAGGAAAGTTGGCAGTTTAAATTCCAATATCAACACGCTTTTTTGAGGATATAAAAACATGATTCACACTTTGAAATGACATGGATGCATTCTTGAAAAGTGCCTGTTAGTATGTGGAGGCCATTACTACAGTTAGGTTATGAGATGTTTAGCTTGATTGTCAAATTAATCAGATCTTTAATTTGTAAAATAAAAACGTAATGGAGGCACTTGCTTTTACTCTTCTCCTACAAGTGTGTCTACTGCTGCATTTATAGAACCTCTTCTTTAAGATATTGTAACATACGCTGGAACTTAAACTTCATCATTATTTTCAGAACCTCCTGTTACTTTCCATGTTCTTATAAGTGTCTTACTTTCATCTCGTTTGCTCTTGGAGACAAGATTTCAGCCTTTTACAGCCTCAATGTCAATCCCCTTTTTTGCACTTGGAACAAATGTTCCTGTTTTTGACGGAGTTAACAAAACAACTCATCCTGGTAACTTTTCTAAAAGAAATTAGTCTCTACAACATTTTAGAACTTCCATGGGCCATAAATATCTAGATGCACAAGTCATAGAGTATTCGACTACTCATGGACCTGTTTATTCAAGACAAGAATCACTTAAGATGTCTACTGTCTACTGGGAATTGTCTTAGGGAATTCCCTTCCCTTTATTACGGGCACATATAGCAGATGCGTCAAAGGTCCTGTCCAGACTCACACTAAGTATTTAATTTTATGTTCAGTTTCCTCAGTATCAAGTCAAAAAAAGAGAGTACAGGACCTCATGACACCTTGAAATGTATTTTATCGTATGCTTACCTGGAAACAAATATTGAGACATGACAGACCCTCTTACCAGAAGCAAGAAAATGTGACCTATGATTTCATGAATGTACTCATAAAAGGCTCGCACCTGAACTTTTTAGTATTCTGCTTTCACATAATAACAGAACTTCTATTGTCCTCAAACCGTAACCAAACAAGACTTCCGAAGTTAGAGCAACACTTACTTAGCAGAACTTACATGTGGGGGAAATACCTTGATGAACCTTTTTTACTAGGAGTGGAAAAATCCTTAGCCTCATAAAATAAGTGAAAGTGGATGATCAAATCTAGAAATCTTTAAAACCACACATCGTTAGGCAGGCGTACTCACAGTGTATGTGTTGACATTAACTAAAACTTTCTTGTCTGGGTTTCAGCTCACGGTCCTTACATCCAAATCATTGAGGAACCAAAGCAGGTGAGACCATTCTTTAGTTCCTGAAAGAAACATTCACATTGACAATGGAAGCATAAATATGTGTCGACTGTTACCCTAAATTTACACACCCTTAGACACGCACGCACACACGCACATACGCACACGCGCACACACACACGCACACACGCGCACACACACACACACACACAGTGGTGTTTCCCCCCTTCTGGTCGATCCGCATGTTACTGTAACAGCCACTTCCTTTAATCCAGGGTTTTCCCAACAGTCATATCACCACATGGGACTGAGCTGGTGAGCTCAAACAGGCTGCCTGCAGGAAGTCAGGGAGTTTTTGTGCAGCTTAATGTCACCTGACTACAGAGAGTGACTGTCTTCATGCAAATCAATGAGTTATGTTATGAGGAGGAGGAGGAAGAACCAGGGTTACGAAATCAGTGGATGTACAAAGTACATTTTCAAATGACACAAACCGATTGTTTCAGCAGCCGACTCCACCTGTATTCCTACCCATCAAGTAAACATCTTATGGGGACTCACATGGAAAAAAAAAGATTTAATATGAAGACAGTATCCCAAGAGTGCTCGTATGAATAAAAATAGGTTTGAATAACTAGATAACAGAGTCGATGCAGAGTTTTATTTGCAGATCAGTATCAGTTTGTATCATCAGGAACAAAAAGAACGTAATAAAAATCGAGGATTTGGCAATAAAAAAATGTCATGACACAAAGACATGATGAACTAACTGTAAATCTGCTTGTTCCCAGAGGGGCTTTCGTTTCCGTTATGAGTGTGAAGGTCCCTCCCATGGCGGGCTCCCAGGGGCCTCAAGTGAGAAGAACAGGAGAACCTACCCAACAGTGAAGGTGGGTAACACACACATGTAAACACTGTCTATAAAGAAAAATGAGTTGAGACAAGATTCAAACAGAAGGGAAACTGTTACAGAGTCAATGCTGAATAGAACAGAAAAAGTGAAAATGAAGATGCTTTCCACGTTTCCTGTATTTATCTCAGGCTGTACTCATACCCATCCCACAAAGCAGCTATAAAAAATACTTAACAGAATGATTTTTAATTATATGTGAAATTACAAAAGGAATAGAAAACAGATTAGTGAGCTAAACCAACCTTAGGAAAAGTGTGGGCTTAATTTTCCGGACTTAAATGACGTGTTTTCATGCTACCCAAGTAGAGATAATAACTCATTATCATTCATGGATGAATAATGACGTGAAAACAGAAAGAAAATCAATCAACACTGCTACAGTGTGCAAAAATATTACGCTAATAATCGATAGCACACACACTCGTAAAATGTATAAATGATACAAAGACTGATATATATTTGAGAGAGATTGTACGTTAGATAGCAAAAAACAAAATTGTGTGAAACAGGAAGCTAATCATTCATGTGTTTTGTTCTCTTGTCCTGGGGGGGTTGGGTTCAGTTCAGGAGAAAGCCACACATATACTTCATTAAGATAAAAAGCTACAGCCAGCATATATTTTATTGGCTATCCTTCATCAGGAAAAGAGAAGGAAGGAGATAAATGTGTGTATACAGTAATACACATAACTGCATGAAAACAAATCACACAGAGCTGAATGGATGTAAATCACCGTCTATTAATGCATGGAAGTGACCAATCCAAAAGAAAGATTCAATCCAGAAGGACCCCCCTCTCTCTCTTTTAATTTAAATGATCTCTTTTCTCATTCTTCTTCTATCTTTACTTTATTTTCTTCTCCTCTTTTTTATTGTGACAGAATATTTTTAAACTGTGACAGAATATTTTTAAACTGTGACAGAATATTTTTAAACTGCACTAAATGATCTGAATACTTCCTCCACCACTTTCACATGTTTTCAGATTAATAACTATGTGGGTCACGCCCGGGTGGAGGTCCAGTTGGTGACCCACTCCGATCCTCCTCGGGTTCACGCTCACAGTCTGGTTGGACGTCACTGCACTGAGAACGGCATCTGCACGCTGGACATCGGCCCCAACGACCTCACTGCCTCGTAAGTATCAAATCTGCTGCAGCAGTCTAAACGTTTGGAAAGAAGCAGCAAACTGCAGCAGGATCCTAAAGCTCTAAAGATACAGTTACAAGAAGTTAGGGAGGAAAGTTTTCATGAGCATGACACAAATAAATGAAAGCTTTCTTAAAAGTTAATTATCTAACATTTAAAAACACTCACAAGAAATATTTCTTCAAGTCCAACCTCTATAGTGGCTCTTTTTTGTAATTTTTGAATGAAAGTTGGTTAAGCTGGTTATCATAATGTGTCTGAAACAGCTGAGACAGAGTGTTAATTCAGCGCAGTGTAGGTTATTTTAAGAGGAATTAATTTTTTATAGATCTTTTTTTAAAACTTACAGTTAAGTTTATTTAGTATAGTGCAAAATAACATACTTTATCTTTGGGTCCATTCATGTGAAGTGTACTGTTTAGAATATATAGATATAAATGTGAGGTAATAATTAAGTATTAAAGTAAATAAAGCCACAGCAGATGGCTGGTAATCTTCCTGTTAAATGGAAGTTTTCTTTGCCACTGTTACAAAGTGACTGGTTCATCTGTGCATGAATGACGAGTCACATAAAATGATTTCACAAACAGTGAGACCGAAAAAAAAAAAAGATAAAAAAAAAAAAGATCAAACATCATGTAATATTTCAAACTGATTGTTTTACAGTATATGAATTTAAACAATGGTATGTCTTGAATGCATCATGTGAAGTTTGATCTGTGATGTCACTTCCTGTAGCTTCAGTAACCTGGGGATCCTCCATGTGACAAAGAAAGGGGTGGTGGAGGTCCTGAGCAGGAGGCTGAGAGAGGAGCGAAGGAGACAGAAAGGAGCTCACAGTCTCCTCACAGGTAAGCTCACCTCACCTGCTGGTCCTGCACATTGTTATTGCAGAGAAAATTCATATTTCCCCTTTTTTAGAATAGGATTTAAAAAGACATTTTAGGTATGATTGAGTCAAATTATTTTAAGGATTATTAGTATTCAACACATTTTCCGACCATCTCTCCTCAAATGTTTTTGTTTTTACTGCTCTGTGAGTAGAAAAGTCTGCCGTGCCTTCAATTGCATGGGAATCAATAACATTTAATTTTCCAGTCCGCGGAATGAATAAAACTTGTGATACACGCTCTAATACCTTAAAGTTCAGATACAAACATGGGAGCATGAACGCCTCAATTTGACGTGATAAATCATTATTCAGACCTAGTCCGAGGCCTGGAGTCTTCCTTTATAGACATAACTAAACATTCCCAACTGTTCTTCATGTTTCATCCTGCTGTCTGCTCCCCTGCAGATGCGGAGGAGAGCTCCTTCCTGAAGGAGGCCAAGGACCTGGGGAAGGTGATGGACCTGAATATCGTCAGGTTAAAGTTCACCGCCTACCTGCAGGACAGCAACGGAGGTTTCACCAGAGCGCTAAAACCTGTCGTCTCCAACCCCATCTACGACAGCAGTGAGTCTAAACACCTGGAAATGTCAAATCTTTACAGCTGATGAGAAAGATGAACTGGTTTAAACTACTCAAAGCATCAAAGCTACTGTTGCTGTAGCTTTGTTCTTCAGCTAAGGACTGTTTCCAGGTCACATGATGGCATTTAAAAAAAGAAAACTACTTTGAGCTCAAGATGGGGGAATTGGATGGAAGCGTAAGCTGGTCCAAAGCACTCCAATGCCATCTTTTTGACACCTTTGTTACAGCGAATGAACTGGACAAAAAAAAAACCAAGGGACTCATTTCAGATATCAACCAATCATCAACAATCTGTTCTGTGTTTCACCTGCAGAATCACCCAACGCCTCCAACCTGAAAATCTCTCGGATGGATAAGACGTGTGGCTCGGTGCTCGGAGGAGACGAGATCTTCCTGCTGTGTGACAAAGTCCAGAAAGGTCAGAACTTTTTATGTAATAATATCTTTCAATGAGACTCTGTTTACCAATAATGATCGATATAATAAGTAATTATATCTAGATTTAGAAAATTAAAAAAACTGTCAAGATGAGGGGAGCAGGGGATTTTTTATTATCTGGATGATCAGTAATAACCTCACATGAGGAATTGAAAGATCTCTAGCTCTGTAATGTACACATTTATGTTTGTTTATGTTGATCGTTTATCCTTGAATGATTCAGGGAGATGATATAATTTATGATAAACTGTTTAAGATTGTTTGAGTGTCAATTAAACGCACAGATGTGTGGTCTGTGGTTTTAACTTGTAAAGTGATTTTAGTTTGTTTGAGGGGCATTTTGAAGAGTTTTACATCAAATTAAATTATGGCATGTTGTTTTTTAAATCAGTATACTTGTGACAAGTAAATGACACACCTTCCCGGCCTTGTGATTTACCATCAAGAAGGATTTAACACATTGTGTCTGTGGCATGTTGATTTTGGAGTAAATTCAAGCTTTAAACTGGTGTTGAAAGAACTTATTGATTTTAATTTTACACTGAAACTGGAGAAGTATCCCATCATGCCCCTGTGCTGCACATTACAGATGACATAGAGATACGTTTTTATGAGGAGGACGATGAGGGAAGCTGGGAGGCCTACGGTGACTTCTCACCCACAGATGTTCACAAACAGGTACAGATTAAGTGTGTGTGTGTGCGTGAGTCTGTTAGTTGTTTGTCTTATCAGTGTTTATCTCATACAGACAATCAAAGTGTTTATCCTCTCTCCTCTCTCTCTTTAGTACGCCATCGTATTCAAAACCCCGCCGTATCACATTGCAGAGATCGAGCGGCCCGTCACCGTCTTCCTGCAACTGAAGAGGAAAAAGGCTGGAGACAGCAGCGACCCGAAACCGTTCACCTACATACCACAGGTTCAAGGTCAGCCACCGCACTGGGAAACATCCCTGCATCTTATTAACAGAGGGAACCGTTGCACTAAAAGTTATTTTATGAGGTTGAACCTGTACATTCCCATGAAGACTCTGAGGAAGATGTATGTTTGGTGTTTAAGGTCACAGATATTTGGGGTTTCCCTCGGTGGAAAAGCTTGACTTGCAGTGAGTTTCGGTGCTCACCTACTCACTCAGTTGTTTGTCAGGCACCAGAAAGGGAAAAATGAAAGAAATGTACAAAACACTTTTGAATTACTTTTAAATGTCATCCTTTCATCTCCTCTTTACACTCTCCGCGTTTGATCTCTTTCAGACAAAGAGGAGGTGCTGAGAAAGAAGCAGAAACCGCTGCCTCACTGTGAGACTGGCTCCTGGAGTGGAGGAGGTGGAGGAAGAGGGGGAGGGGCTGGAGGATATGGAGGAGGAGCAGGAGGAGGAGGAGGAGGAGGA